GGGGTGGGGGCAGGGCTGGCCAGATGCTGGTCAGCAGGGCTGGGAGGCAGAGAACTGGCTGGGCCTCGGGTTGCTTGGGCAGGCGCTGGGTTTTGTCTGAGTGAGGGGAGGCCTTGGAGCAGGAAGAAGGTCAGATCTGAAAGGTGGTTCTGGCTTCGAGGTAGAGAAGGGATTGCTGGGGGTAAGGACAGATGCAGAGGGGCTGAAGAGAAGGCTCCTACAGCGAGCCAGGGGGGAGATGGTGGGGAAGACAGGGCGCCAGGGTGGCACGAGGCTGATTGATCTTGGGGCTATTTTGGACAGGGAGTGGGAGAGTCAGGAGACACGATCATTTCAGGGCTTTCTGGCCTGAACCAAACCGAGCAGATGGAGAACCTGTCACCTGAGATGGGAACCCGGGGATGGGGTGTGTGGAAGTTCTGGGAGGAGTCTGGGCCTGCCAGAGACCCCGGCTGAGGAGGTGGGCTCTTGCTTGAGGGCTGGTGCTGACTGGTGCAGCTCTACTCATGCCAACCTCCCTCTGCCTGCAGTGACATAATCAAAAGCCCCAAGCTGGCAGGTGAGCTGCAGGGTCTGGGGCTCGGGAGCCTCCTGTCCACCAGGCAGATCCGACTGCTGGAGGCCACGTTCCTGTCCAACGAGGTGGTGAGTCCCGTACCCCGGTCAAGGCCTGGGCCAGGAGCAGGAGGGGAACAGAAGGGAGGTTCAGAGACGGACAGACCCAGGCAGGAAGCTGACAGGAACGTCCGGGTAGGTGGGGTGATGGGTCGGTGCTATGATGATCTGGCCTTCCTTCCCCCAGGCCAGCGCCAGGGAGCTGATGGCCCGCGCCCTGGAGCTGGAGTCACAGCGCTGGGCCCAGGACGTGGCCCCCCAGAGGCTGGATGGCCACTGCCACAGTGAGCTGGCCATCGACATCATCCAGGTACCACGGGTGACCCCTTGGTGCACATGGCACCCACGCACAATCTGTCCACTTCCCAGCATACACACAAGCCCACCTCTGAATACACTCCCCTCCCCTCCCCTGGCCCCATCCAGGCGAGGCCTTACTCAGCCCATCCACTGCCACCCTGCAGATCCTTTCTCAGAGCCAGGCCAAGGCCGAGAGCATCACCCTCGACTTGGGGGCACAGATCAAGCAACTGTTGCTGGTGGAGCTGGCCACGTTCCTCAGGAGGTAGGTGTGAGTAGGAGCCGCACTCGGTCCCTCCATGTGCTCGGGGGGGGGTGGGATCCAAGCTAAATCAGTCCCCCATTCCCACCCCTACCCCATCATTCTGAGCCACGGGTCCTCTCCCCTCACCCTGTCCCCCCGGCGATGAGAGCCTCAGGTGGTCTGACCTCCATCAGGACTCTGTGGGAGTTTCGTGCCCACCTACCCCCCAATCAGCAAAGCTCCCTGAACAGCCTCTAGCTGCAAAGAGGAGGCCCTATGAGGAACTGGGTTCACACAACCCCCAGCTCCATCCCTAGAATGCTTCTGGTTCCCTCCCTCTCCACCTCGGAGGACTGCCCCCTGCCAATCACAGGTCCCTCTGATCTTCAGGGTCTAGTAGGAGCCCAAAGGACAGGCTGGTGCAGCTGGCACTTTCTTCAGGAGCCCTGTAGGGCTCTGGCCCTGCTGACTGTAGCTTACAAAGCCAGTTCTATGGTGCTTAGGGGCTGGTGGCTCCTCTCTTGGCTGTGGGGAGATGATCAAACAGAAAAGCCACTCCGTGAACCCAGGGAGCTGGTAGGGCGGGCTGGGAGTTGGCCTAGGGTCTGGGCTGGTGCTGAATGTGCCCCTTCTGGTTTCACCAGCTACCAGCACACCTTCAATGACTTTCTGGAGAGATGCAGACAGCTGAGAAATTTCAGGGCCAATGTCATCGCCAACATCAACAATTGCCTGTCATTTCGGTGAGGATGCTGGAAAGGGCTCTAGGACGGAGGGATCACTTGGTGGCTGGACGTGGAGGGGAGGAAGAGCCATTCAGGCCAAGAAGTGAAATTAAAACTAGCAAGATCCAGCCTGGGCAATATAGCGAGACCTCATCTCTACAAAAAAAATTTTTTTAAACGAGCGGGGCGTCATGGTGTAGGCCTGTAATCCCAGCTACTAAGGAGGCTGAGACTGGAGAATCGCCTGAGCCTAAGAGGTGGAGGCTGCAGTGAGCTGTGATCATGCCACTGCACTCCAGCATGGGTGACAGAGTGAGACCATGACTCACAAAAAAACAAAAACCAAAAAAAAACTGTAAGGCACGTGGGAAAGTGACCAGAGCCTATAGCAGCAGCAGCAAACATTTGTTACCAAGTACTGAATGTGTCAAACACTCATGCAAATGATCGACTCATTATTTTATTCTTGTAACAGCCCTATGAACTGGGCACAGAGATCATACCTGTTGCACAGAAGGGCAAACTGAGGCGTGGAGAGGCTAACTTGCCCTCAGTTCAAAGGGGATGTGGTGTAGGTGTTTACTGGTGATGTGGAGAGTATGGATGGGAGAACTTGGACTTGATCCCAAAGGGAATGGGGAGCCATTGAGGGTTCTAGAGTGAAGACATGGGCTCCCTGGGTGCAGGGATATAGGCTAGGCAGAACTGGTATGACCTCCCTGCCTCCACCTTCCAGGACATCCATGGAGCAGAGGTGGCAGGTACCCCAGGACCCTCTGAGCCTTCTGCTGGGTCCGCTGAGTGAGCTTAAGAGCCATGGCTTTGACGTCCTCCTCCAGAGCCTCTTCATGGACTTGAAGGTAGTGGGGGTCACCTTTCCTCTGGAGCATCCTGAGCCCAGTGCTGGAGGGGAATGCATGGGGCAGGCTGGGAGAGTGCTCCTAGGAGATGTGGAAGGACACACTCTGGGCCTGTCGAAGGACTGGAGCAGGCAGTGGAGGATACTGATGGGCCCCAGAGGCCACCCTGTACCCCCATCCAGACCCAGCCCTGTCCCCACGTTTGCACACACTTTTCTTCCAGCTCCCCAGACCCTCCTGCCCACACCAGTGTTCAGGCTTAACTCCCAGCTCCTTATGCTCAGGGCCTGTGGCAGCCGGGGTTGCATCTGCTATGGACCAAGAAATCAACAGAGAATACCGTGGAGGGGGAAAAAAGTAGTTCCTTTAGCAGAGAGTGAGACGGGGGTCCCTCAAAAGGAAGAAGAGGGGTTCCCTACCCAGTGTCCGGGATGGAGGTCGTGGGTGGCCCGAGGGTGGTGTAGGCTCCAGCAGTGACCCTGGGTCCCATGGCACTGGTCTCAGGCCCAGCCAAGCCTTGTTTATGCAGGAATTTATTTATCTAAGAGGGAAGCAGTGGAAAAGGCCTCAGGGCCAGCAGACAGGCTGTCCTGGCTCCGCCTGACGGCCTTGGAGAAGGCTGCTCCAGGCAGCCTCCGCTTCCTGTCTGTGAGCAGAGACCTGGGCCTTGCCTGGGTTCCCGGGGAGTCCTTGGCCCCCCTCGCCTTGTCCCACTGAGCACGTGTGTTGGGGTGCGTGTGTCTGTGTGTGTCTGGGGCTGGCGGCCCTTCCTCCCCAGGAGGTGACCAGACATCCTGCCTCTCCCGTCTCAGCCGCTGTTCAAGAGGTTCACACAGACCCGCTGGGCGGCCCCCACGGAGACCCTGGAGGAAATCATCGCCACCGTGGGCGGAAGGCTGCCTGAGTTCTCAGAACTGCAGGACTGTTTCCGGGAGGTGAGACGGCTCAGGACTGGTGGCTGGCCCTGGCAGAGTGGGGACAGCCGAGTCACACATGCTAACTTGTATATACCCACATGTGCTCACACACGTATATGTGAACATACTCACGTGTATGCACCCTTGAGCTCTGGCATCTGCTTCTCCCCGGATTTCTGGCTTCAAGGCTTCAGGGGAGGTGGTGAGCTCTCCATCGGCAGATGGCTCACACTGCCCTGGGTGCTTGCCTTCCCAGGAGCTCATGGAGGCTGTGCACCTGCACCTGGTGAAGGAGTACATCATCCGTCTCAGCAAGCGGCGCTTGGTCCTCAAGACACCAGAGCAGCAGCAGCAGCTGGCCAGGCACGTTCTGGCCAACGCCGACGTCATCCAGTGCTTCTGCATCCAGCATGTAAGCCACTGCACAGCCCAGCCCGGGACCCCTGGGATGGGCTACCTCTTCTCCTCCCAGCCCCTCCACAGTCCGGGACTCTCACAGCCCCTCAAGGACTCTCCTAGCTGCACCGGTTCCTGACCTGAGCCTCTCTGGGTCCCTGAGTCCTTCCAACCACACCTGTACCTGCAGGGCTCCCCGGCAACTTGGCTGCAGCCTGCCCTCCCCACACTCGCTGAGATTATCCGCCTGCAAGACCCCAGTGCCATCAAGATCGAAGTGGCCACTTACACCACCTGCTACCCCGACTTCAGGTGAGAATAAGAGGTATCTCAGGACTTGAGCTGTTTGCCCAGCCCTCCACCCATCTAGCTAGCTACCCCTCCATCTGCTCACCCACCCATCCATCCACACACCTATCCATCCACCCACCCACCCATCCACTCTCACACCCATCCATCCATCCACGCATCCCACCAACAATTATTTAGCGGTCTGCTAGGAGCCAGCCTCTGTCCTAGGCACCAGGAGGCAACGAAGTACAAGCTGGCCAGGTCTCACTCCTCCATCGTGTTCTGTTGAGGGACAGCAGTAATGAAGCAATCAGACAAATACAGTTGTATGTTGTAAGGAGAGTGTAACCAAGGCCGTGAGTAGCAGGAGGTGCTGACTTTTGAAATGGAAGAGCCTCTGATGGAAGGCAGCATCTTGGCTGAGACCTGAAGGGTGGGAAGTCACTGGTCATCTCCGGTGTGGGGAAGAGCATTCCAGGAGGAACAGCCAGTGCAAAGGCCTGGAGTGGGTTGGAGTTTGGCTGCTCTTGAGACCGCCTGCCGGAGCCATACGGGGAAGCGTGAGGGGAGGCCCCCCTTGTGGGCAGGGGGTTGGCAACAGAGCCCCGTGGCACCTGCCAGGAGTCTGGAGAGCTGGGGAGGGGTGTGAGCAGGGAGGTGGTGACTGGGCTGGGCTGACGAGTTCTCTCTTTGCCAGCAAAGGCCATCTGAGCGCCATCCTGGCCATCAAAGGGAACCTCTCGAGCAGTGATGTCAGGAGCATCCGAAGCATCCTGGACGTCAACACAGGGGTGCAGGAGCCCTCCAGGTCCCTCTTTGCCCTTATAAAGGTTGGTTAGCTTTTCCTGCACCTGACCTGCTATGAGTGCCCAGCGAGCATCAGGCACCGCCCTCTTGGGGGCTGTTCGGACCTGTGGGGGCTCGCGGCGCTGCCCAGGCCTCCCACCCTCTGCTGCTGCACTACCTAGCCCAGGCCCCTGGGCAGCTGGAATCGGAAGGACCCTGGGTTGTTTACATGTCCAGCGGAGGCAGGAGCACCCGCTGGGGCAGCCAACCAGGCAACACCTACGAACTCTGTCAATGATGGCGGATGGCGCATGCACACAAGACAGCCAGGAAAAACAGTGTGGCCAGGAGCCAGAAATCCTGGGCCACCTACTGTCCAGGGGCCCTTCCATAGCTGGCTTCATAACTGTCCTCATGGGTGGGACCAAGTGTCATTCCCAGTCTTCTGGGGCCAGGGGCTGATTCTCACCCCTCCTGCCTCCTCCAGCCCAATCCTCAACGAGCTGGGTTCAAAGGCTGGAATCAGAGACAGAACTGAAAGAAAAGACCACTCTTACCTGGGACCTGGAAAGGGACTGGTGGGGTCCTGTTGGGAGCAGGGGGTGGAGCCATGCCCTACCACTCCCACAGGCTGCCCCTGGAGCTCAGGCCCTGACCCTCCTCTGCATTCCCAGGGGCTTCCCCAAGGGTGGTCCCAGGAGGCCTTGGCATCCGTCATGGTGGGTCTCCTAACCCCATGCAGGGGCAAGTCCCAGGAGCGCCCGGTGGGCCCTTCACCTGGAAGTCTGGCTGAGATCTAGGCAGGGACAGGGCAAGCTTGACTTCTGACCTTTTGCCTCCTCTTACTGGTGTAACAAATTTCCACAAACTTAGTGGATTAAAACAAGAGCAAATCTCGCAGTTCTGTGAGTCAGAAGTCTGACTCGGGCTAAAGTCAAGGTGTCCGCAGGGCTGGGTTCCTTTGGAGGCTCTTGGGGAGAGGCTGTTTCCTGGCCTTTTTGTATTTAGAGGCCGCCGATATTTCTTTTTTTAAATTTTATTTTGAGTCAGAGTCTCACTCTGTCTCCCAGACTGGAGTGCAGTAGCCGCTCCTGGTCACCGCAGCCTCGACCTGCTGGGCTCCGGCGATCCTTCCGCCTCAGCCTTCCAAGTAGCCGGAACTACAGGTCTGCGCTACCATGCCCGGCTGATTTTTTGATTTATTGTAGAGATGAGGTTGCACCAGGTTGCCCAGGCGGGTCTCGAACCCACAGGCTCAGGCACTTCACTCACCTCGGCCTCCCAAAGCGTGGGATTACGGGTTGAGCCACTGAGCCCGGCCCACCCATATTTCTTAACACTGTCCCTCCATCTTCAGAGCCAGCTGTGAGCAATTGAATCCTTTTCCCATCACATCCCTGGGACCGCCTCTCCTTCCTCCCTCCCTCTGCCACATTTAAGGTCCCTTGGGATGACATTGAGCCCACCCAGATAATCCAAGCTCATCTCCCTAATTTTTTTTTTTGAGTCGGGGTCTCATTCTGTTGCCCAGGCTGCAGTGCAGTGGCACACTCCCAGCTCACTGAAGCCTCAACCTCCTGGGCTCTGGTGATCCTTCCACCTCAGCCTCCCAAGTAGCTAAGACTACAGGCACATGCCAACACATCCGGCTAATTTTTTGATTTTTTGTATATATGAGGTCCCACTAGTGCCCAGGCTGGTCTCAAACTCCTGGGCCCAAGCAGTCCTCCTGCCTCGGCCTCCCAAAGTGCTGGGATTACAGGTATGAGCCACTGAACCTGGCCTTATCTTCCTAATTTAAGGTCACCTGATTAGCTACCTTAATTATGTCAGCAATTTTAGTTCCCATTGGCCATGTAACTTGCCATAGTCACAAGTTCTGAGGATTATCACATAGACATCTTTGGGAGGCCACCATCCTACCCACTACAGCCTCCGTCCATTCCCTGTCCTGTAGGGCACCCCACTTTAGCCCAGGAAAACGTGAGCTCAGATTCCCCGCTAGCCTCCCCCAAAGGCCCTGCTCCGTCCTGAGCCTGAAAGATCCCCCTGAGCATGAAAGGGAGCCCTTGGAACTCAGACATGACCCAGGCTCGCCGATACATCTGTGGTGCTGTCAGGGCTGGGGCCACTCTCTTCAATTTGTCCCCTTTTCCCAGGTACTGCCTTACAAAGCCATGGCTAGGAGCTGGCTGGTGTAAATGACACACAAGGTCTTTGTACATTTGTAGGAGTTGATGTGTTTGATGTTGTTAATATTATTAATATTATTTTTGATAGAACTGCTTTAGTTTGTGTGTATTCAAGAAGATCCAGATTTTTATAGCTTGATATAAATCTAATTTCAAAAGTGGCTGTGGAGTGGTTTATTTGGGAAACTGCACAATGGGGGTGGGCATTGGGGGCGTCTTTGAGGCTTTCTCAGCCACCCGCAGGCTGGGCAGACCCTGTCCTCCCAGGTACTGTGTCAAAACCCCAAGCAGTCCCCGTCCCAGGGCACCTCCCGTGGTCCAGGCAGGAGAATGCCCTATCCCCTTCTCACTTGGGAACACAAGCTTCTAAGGGTCTGCCTGTAGGGCATGGGCAGTCGCTTTACCCTTCTGTGTCCTTTGGGGCTTCCCCTGTTGTCCTTGGCTGAGGATGAGAAGGTTGGTGGGAGGGTGGGGTATGGACCCAGGACAGTGGTTTCAACCCCCTACCTGGGACCCAGTTGGAACCTACTGTTATATTTCTGATATTGACCCCCCAAAGCAAAGCTGTGAACAGAGGGGCCCCTGGTTTGTGTTCAGGGTGGTCCTCCCCTGTGTATCCCAACCTGGCCTAGGCTTCAGGAAAGAACAGAGTCCCTGGAGAGGGAAGGGACCCTTGACAAATCCACAGAGCCCAGGGGAAGCCCAAGGGCAACCTTGTGGGGTCTGGGGTCCTGCAGGAGGGACTTGGACTTAAGCTGGGGTGGGGGAGGGGAGGCCCATTCTCGAGAGTTCCAGGAGAGGAGAGGCCCCGGGAGACCCTCTGCTCCCTGCTGGATATCTCTCCCATGTGGTTCTGGTGGGAGTCTCACTTGTGACCACAGGCTCCTGTGGATCGTGGGCGAGTCTGAGCCTCTCCGGAAGCGCTGGTTTCGGGCTGCGGGTGGGTTTCCCCTCGCTGCTCCTGGTGAGCACCGGGGGAACGTGGGACAGCACCCCTCTCCCCTTCATGGTCTCCTTGCCCCCACCGCCCACCCACCCAACGGGAGGAGAGGCAGGAACTGAGACCAGATGGAAGTTTTCATTTGATGGAGAGCTACATCCACTGACCCTGGGGGCGGATTCAGGTCCAAATGCTGAGCCCCAGCCTGAGGCGGCCAGGGCAGGCCCGTGTCCTTGGAGCGTGGTGGGTCCAGGACCGAGTGGACCCACCCCCGGCCGAGCCCACCACTCACCGCCTGGCAAGGCCCAGCGGGCTAGGAAGAGGCGGGGGGCGCCTCGCGGTTCTGGTGGTTCCTGCCCTCTGGAGTCAGGGCAGGGTGTCGCAGGGGTCACCAGGCCGGCCACAAATCAGGTTCTGCATCTGTAACTTCTCCAGGAACACTCCAAGGGAAGGATGGTCCCAGAGGGGAGGAGCCACGAGTGGCACAGGGACAGAGAGGGGCGGAGAGGGGCCTCTGCCACACCTGCTCTCTGTGGGTTCAAGGACAGGGACCCCGGGACCCAGGCTCCAGGCAGCAGGGAAGGGAGGCCAGAACCCAGCCTGTAAGACAACAGCTGGGGTCGCCGTGGAGAGCAGTGGACCAGGGCCACCTTCAGGGGCTGAACTTCTCTGCAGGGATCGCCCCTAAAAGGCCCCAGGAAGCAAGTTAACCAAGAGCTCAGATCCAAGTTCAGGGGGCTAACTGGGTGGGTGGGATGAAGAAGGGTTAAAGGGGCCAGCTCTAGCTGTGGTTCTGGAGGGACTCATTGAGGAGGGGACAGTTGGCTGGGAACCCCAGTCTTGAGGAGACCTGGGTAGAGCCGGGCAGGGGAGGGGACAGCCTGGAAGAGGTGGCAGGTGGGAAGTGGGAGGACTCCAGGTTTTAGGGAAAGAAAGGAGGAAGGGTTGGGGGAAGGAGGGCTAGGAGTGAGACCCCACAGAGAGGCAGGAGGGGATGGGAATGAGACCCCGCAGAGGAAGGAGGGTAGGAACAGGATGGAATCATTCCAGCTGTGAAGGGAAAATCAGGAGGGAGCTGGAGAGGTGAGTGGGGCTGATGTGATATATGGCTGGGAAAGACCCCTCTGCTGCCTGGAGAATGGGGAACAGAGAGGAGACCTGGAGACCCCCTCAGGGGTGCTAGGGTTCCCAGGGGAGAGAGGATGGTGTCAGTGAGGGCATGACTGCAGTGTGTGATGGAGGGGGTTCCAGGGTCCCCTCACATACTCTAAGAGAGCCAGGTAGGTGGTGGTGCTGTCCAGAGACAGGGAATGACTGGGGGCCGGGGGTGGGGGATGGGGAGACCACTTAGGGAAAGAGATTGATTTGGTCAAATTAAGTTTGAGAGTTCTGCAGAACGGGGCTCGTTAGACTGACCAAGACCTCAGTGAGTGACGGCTCTTTGTGTGTGAGGCTGTTGGTGGTTGGGATTATGGGTCAAACAGACAAATACGCAAACCTGTGAGCCAGTCATTTCCCTTCTAGGACTGTGTCTCGTCGGTACTCTAACATTCATGGGAAATGACTCGGGTACCAGGTTGATCAATTCAATTGTAGTAGCAAAATACTGGAAACTCCTTAAGTGTCCAACAGCGAACACCAAGGAAATGATGGCAGTGCAGCCAGCAATGGAGTACCATGCAGCTGTGAAAAATAATGCAGAAGTCTCTCTGTTCTGATTTGAAATTCAGAACATATGATCTTTTTTTTTTTTTTTGAGATGAAGTCTCTGTTGCCCACACTTGAGTGCAGTGGCACACTCCCGGTCACTGGAACCTCAACATGCTGGGCTCCAGCGATCCTTCCGCCTCAGCCTTCCAAGTAGCTGGAACTACAGGTGTGCACTACCACACCCGGCTCATTTTTTTTTTTTTTTTGAGTTGGAGTCTCACTCTGTCACCCAGACTGGAGTGCAGTGGCTGCTCCCGGCCACCG